GTGATAGGATGCCACCTGTGCAACAAATCCAGTCGTGAAATTTCCACGCTCCTAAATATTCCAGTCATCTGTCAGCAGTATTATAAGATGTGGAAGTGTTTGGGAACGACAGCAACTCCGCCACGAAGTGGTAGACCATGTAAACTCGTCCAACATCAGTGTGTGACCTCACAAATTCACTTCTGGAAGAATGGTCAAAAATTCCCATAAACACACTCCTAAACCTTGTGGACAGCTTTCCCAGAAGAGTTGAAGCTGTTATAGCTGCAAAGGGTTGACCGACATCACAGTGAACTCTATGGATTAGGAATGGGATGTCACTTACAGTAAATTCATATGCGAGTAAAGGCAGGTGAGCGAATGCTTTTGGCAATATAGTGTATATGTTCTTTATTTGCATACTCTATATCAACAGAACAACAACGCTATTCTGACACAATGCTCTTCCTGCGTTTACACAATATGCTTGAGCTGGTTATTGAATTAACTAATTTATTGATGTGCAATTCATTGAAGGTTGGATTCGCATAATATGCTAAGCCATAAACAGATAAGCCAAGGTCAAAAGTAACCAAGCCTAACTTCTTATATGAATGCAGCTTATTCTGCAAACAGAAATATAGCGAAGGATATTGTACAAAGTAGACAACCACATTTTAGTATAGAATGCTGAGGGAAATCAGTTTGCATTGTTAGTTAATGTTCATTGAACACTGACAGATTTAGAGTGTACTGTTTAATAATTTATTTCACGTACAATTGATAGATATTTTTAACCACAAGGGCACTAACATTATGACATCATAACACAAGCTCCACTCTTTCATATTTACATTGTGACATCACATGCAAATAGTTAAAGACTGAGATTTGCTTTGCAAATGGGGATTTCATCTCTCTGTCATATACACACTGCTCTAGGATTTTGTAAATTCCAGGAAAGAAACATTTCATATCCTCCACAGATATTACCACTCCAATGGAATAGCTCTCTCTCTCTCTCTTTCTCTCTCTCTCTCTCTCTCTCTATGTGTGTGTGTGTGTGTGTGTGTGTGTGTGTGTTTTCAAATTAGGGTGGACTCCTGAAGACCATCTGGCCAGGTCCCTGGTGTTTTCTTGGCATGTTTTTGGAAATAGTTTGTCATTGCCTCCTGAGAAGCCAAGAGAGAATGACCCAGCTGGCTTTGTGCCTAAGATGGGATGAGAATTCACTGTTTCCAAGTTTCTAGCCTAGAACTTTTAACTACTACATCAAACCAATTCTTATGGAATTGCCTTATCACCCTCTAAACATATCCACCTGAATTTTTTCTTGTATTGTGTTCACACAGCATACTAAGACATGATGCCTTAATCATGATTAACTGGATAAATTACAATTTAAATTCCACCCATGCTAAACCATAAACTATGGTGTGCAAACCACATTAAGTTTACTCATCAGGCAAAATCACAAAAGCCATTAACAGCAGTCCAATTGTTGGGCTAATAGTTCATGGTTTTGTTCCTATGAGAAACAAAGGCAAGGGAACCTTGGTGAGTTTTCAGCTAACAATCAATGACTTAAAGGTGCATGTAAGTAGTCAAGAGTCATTGTTTCTTTTCCCCAGCTCTAGCCCATGCAGACACAGTACTCCAGTTCACTACAGAATAGTTTAATAGTATAGATGACTAGGAGTATGTGGGGTCCATTAATACAATCTAAATCCAATAACAAGGTGGTCATATAAAGTTGATTACACACTGAATGAGACAATTTTTCTATGTGATTATTAAAAAGGCCAAATGCAAATTATAGATTGCATCAACAGAAATATGATTTTTTAAAAACTGAAGTAATCAGTTCACTTTATTTTGCTTTGGGATACCCAATTTCAAGTACCAAGTTCAGTTCTACCCATAGCACTAAAGATCTATAGAAATTGAATCAGGTTTAGAGAAGGGCAACAGGAATAAAATAGGGAAATAGAATCCAATAATTGAAGGCATTGGGTTTGTTTAGAAAAAAGACAACTAAAGAGGATAGGGTAGCTCTCTCTATAAATGTATTAAATGATATCACATGTAAGATGGCAAAGACATGTCTCTATTTCAGAATGTGAGTCTTAGGAGGATGGATTTAAATTACAAGAAGATAAAATCTGTCTGAATGTAAGAAAAAACCTTCTTGCAGACAGAACAATTTGACAGCGGAATCTGTTATCTGGAAAAAAGCTGTGTTAAGCTGAGGCTAGATCAGGGGTGTCAAACTGGTGGCCCGCGGGCCAGATGCGTCAAAATCAGGCCATACCCACCCCGCCTCCACAAAGGGGAAAAGTATTGTGAAATGTCACATGACGGCAGTGTGGCACGATGGGTTTAACACCTGTGGGCTAAATAGTTCTTTGGCTGCTGGGGGTTTTAACTCCTGCACTAAGCAGGCTGAACTAATGCTATGATTTTATAAGGAACCTCCTAATAATGAATTACAGCAAATAACTGGTGCACATATATTGCAATGTGCAAACATGAATTTTCCTTTCACTATTAAAGATGTTCATAATAGTTTAAGAACATGCTGAAGTCTTGCTCTTTAAGATAAAAAAGAAGAGCACAAGGAAATATTATGACCTGGAGTTAATGCAAGAGAAATGTCATTCTGGCATAACAAAAAGCACCTTTAATAGTAAATACAAAGCTTTACATTTTGGCATGTGTGGAATAATGGAAAGCAACACTGAATGCCTATTTTCTGATCTAGTGAATATTAGCCACTGTGTTCCAAACATATAATATTGTAGTGTGTAATTCCCAAGCAAGCAATAGACTACTATGCTGCTTCCTATGTCTGTTAATATCTCCTTTATTACTGAACGGCCCCTTTAAAAATTCCAGGATGCTCAGCTAGGGTGGCAGTGACAAGCAGATGCGATCCAATTACAGTCAGCATTTGCCATGAATGGCTTTGTGTGCGACTGATGGGAGAAGGACGGCAGCAACAAGTGCTGTGTGCAGGCTGCAAGTTCTTCACTGCTGCTGCTCTGAACTGCACCCACATCCAGGCAAGGGTGTGGCAAGAGAAAGCAGAGCAAGAGCTCCTGAGCTTTGGATGAGGAAGAAACTTGGGATCCTCAGGTAAAAGGAGACTCAGCTGATCTCGGTTCAGGTACCATGGCCAAAAGGGAGGAGAGAAGGCAGCAATGATAGGGTAGATCAGTCATGGCATATTTGCATGATGGAATGGCTAAAGGTGACTATATGATTTTTTTTTTCAATAGGCTCAATCCAAGAAGCCAATTTTTGGAGGGGAGGGGGCTCTTTTGCTTTGTAGCTAGGTAGGTGTCCAGCATCTGTGCTCTTATTTTTGACATCACAGTTGAAACTCTGGGAGGAAGATGTAGGTGGAGACTGCAGCTAGCTTTAGTGTCATATTTACATCCTGAAGCATATTAGGATTAGCAGCTTTGCCTGTTATGCTTAGAGCAGGGGATTGCCAACATTCAACATTATGACTCATGTACCTTTAATAGTTTGGGGGAAGACAGCAGATGTGCTGCTTGTCATGTCACAGTGCTTCAAGGGTCTGAAAATCTGCTTGCCTACCTTGTCTTCCCCAGCTCGCCTGAGGGCTGAAAGCTTCATTTTAGGCAATAGATTATGACAAGGTTGAAAAGGAGAAAGAAGCATTCTTACAGAGGATTCCCTCCTACCGGAAAAATTTCCTCTATCACTACAACCAGCAAGATCCTAAAAGCCACAGCTGGTTGCATATAGGCAGAATCCATAAATCCAGATTTTCAAAAGCCAAATTGGTGGCTGTAGCTGATCCCCAAAACGGCCTATTTATATAATAGAATTCAAATGATTTTTCAATCCACCAATTTCCTCAGGGAACTCTAGGGATTGCAGTTTTGTGACCAGCTTACTAAAGATCTTTTACAAAATTTTCTGCATCAATTCCAGAAGAAGCCATCGCAGTTAAAATGGCATGGAACATATATAATTATGTGGTCCTTTTTATGTTTCTGGGGGCCCCACTTGGTGATGATGCTAATTGATTACTCTTGCTATCTTTGGCATATAATGACAGCTTTTTAAAATAATTACTTTCAGTCATGTGCACCATTTTATTTTGCCAATTTTCTTAACTGTAAAAATTATGTCATCAACAGAAAAGGATTCAGATTATAGATTCCTTTCCTAGGATCTGAAAACTTAAAAAAAACGTAACAGTAAAACAATCCTAGTACTAAGAATGAAAGAAAGCAAATAAAGGATTTCTGATGAGTTTGTTTAGGACAGAAAAATGGCAAAGAGAACAGATTCTTACCTTCTTTTGCCCATCTCTTTTCCTTGCTAAAACTACCGTGGTCTGAATGTCTCTACCTTCAGCAAGCAGATTCATTTCTGAGGTAGAATCTAAAACAGACGAACCGAATTCCTTTCCCAAGTGTCTCCATTTTAAGGTCAGAAAAACAAATGAAAACAGGATCCCCCAACTTAACTGTTTCTTTATAATGTTAATTGCTCCCCACTGAATGGGTTTTTCCCCCCTGCAAGTCTCCTGACCTTAGTAAGTACAAACTTTTTTCCCAGTAGAGTGAACCCAAACTGAACAGGCTATTTTTTTCCTCCCCAGCAGTTGTGACAATTGCGCTATTAATTCAGCTGACATAGGTTGCAGAATATGGTTTAAATAAAAGGTCTATGTTGTAATATACAGAAAATGTTTGTTTAAAAAATATATTTCTTTTTTATTTTTATTTTTAAATTCTCTTCCCAAAGAGAAGAGACTTTGATGCAAATTCATGGGTGGAGAATCATATGCTGCTCTCACAGTTATTTAGTTAAAAATTAGTCTTGCAATTTTAGAATATAATTGAACTCCAAACAAACTCCTCAGATGGGCACTTTACTGCTGAAAGGTCAGAGATGCTGGGATTCCCCCTAGGCTGACCCAGTTGAGGGCAGATGGAATGAACAGGGCCCTGAAAGGTTCATCACCCCTTTAGTCATCTGAGGTATTCCTACCCACCCACCCACCCCGCCCCCACACAGGCACACATATACTTAATCATTAGACTTAGGGTGAATCTGCTCTCCTTTCCCGTGCCTTATATAAGCTGCAAAGTTCTGGATGACCACCAGATGGCAAATAAATGAAGTTGTTTGTAACTTGTGTCATACTTAATGCAGGAGCCAAAATAAGGAACATAACACTTATTCTGTCTCCCTCATTCCTTTAAATAGCAATAGCACTTAGACTTATATATCGCTTTACAGTGCTTTTACAGCCATCTCTAAGTGGTTTACAGAGTCAGCATATTGCCACCAACAATTTGGGCCCTTATTTTACCTACTTTGGAAGGATGAAAGGATAAAGCGGAACAAGGAGATTTAAAAAATCAACAAGCAGCAAGTGGCGAGAACCCGATGGGAGTAACCATGGAGTTCATTGTGAGTAGCTGTCACACCTAGCTTTATTTTTTTTACTACTGATCTGCAACTTCTCTAGTTTCGATTGCTTCTTTTAAATCCCAAGAGGGAATTATTTCCACTTGAATTTTTTTTTTAGAATGGGATAGGGCAAACTGGACTCCTTCACAGCGATAAAAACATGTTTCCAAAATGCAACAACATCAGCACTAACATTCTCCATCACCTTCAACAAGAGAATGATTGAAAAGGGGAGAGAGAAATGACCTCAAGGGTTTTGTCTTCAATTGTTTCTGTCCAGAGGGAGGGAGAAGGAGAGGGAGGGAGGGAGAGAGAGAGCAGGGAGGAGAGGGAGAGGGAAAGGGAGAGAGGGAGGGAGGGAGGGAGGGAGGGAGAGAGGAGAGAGAGAGAGAATTAGTTCCCTATCAGGGTAGAAATTTGAAGTCACAGATATTTGAGTCATCAACATTTGTTTGGTCATGGATGGTAATTTTAATGTTTGTGTTGTAATTAGATGAAAATGTATTCATATTTCTACCCCTGTAGAGATTACTTTCCCATCTTTCTGTGCTCTGGAAAAAGAGGCACTTGAATTGATTGCTGTGACACATCTGACCCCAAATCAACCCACCGAGAGTCTTGTGGGGCCTCTTAATTCAAAGGAGCGTGGGGAAAAAAAGAACTGATTTTCTTTGCCTTAGCAGCCATGCAGGATTCCCTATTACTGATTGGATGACCAGCATGTTTCTGGCAACTGAGACATCTTGGCCTGTGCTGTTCCTTTGCTCTCAAACTCTCTTCTGCCTCTTCTTTTGCACCCCTTCTTGTTGCTGTACATCCTGCCCTGAACAGTGTCAATGTACCAATTATTCAGGAGCAACTGCTGTTCTGTGTAGTGCGAGCAACTTGGAGGAGATTCCAACAGATATTCCCAAAGATACCATGTTTTTGAAGCTGGATGCAAATAAGATTACTGCAGTTCCCAACAGCACTTTCAGGCACCTGGCCCACTTGCAAGAAATAGATCTCTCCAAGAATGCCATTGAGAAGATTGATTCAGCGGCATTTAAGGGTGTGGCTGATGGCCTGCGGTTGCTGGATCTTTCTGGCAATCACATACAGAGAATCCCAAAGGAAGCCCTGATCAACTTGAATGCCATGATTCGCTTATCTAACAACCCTTGGCACTGTGAATGTACTTTGCAGGAAGTCTTGTGGGAAGTGAAACTGGACCCTGATTCAGTCAATGAGATCACCTGCCAAACATCTGTGCAAGAGGAATATGCTGGAAAGCCTCTGCTACACATCCTAGATTCAGGCATCAACTTTTGCAACATGCATCAGAAAACCACCGATGTTGCCATGTTTGTAACCATGTTCAGCTGGTTTACCTTGGTCATTAGCTATGTGGTATACTATGTCCGGCATAATCAAGAGGATACAAAGAAGCATCTGGAATACTTGAAGTCACTACCTAGCACAAGGGTTCCTAAAGAGACTATTAGCACAATTCTGTAACCTGGCATGCTAACCTCCAGCTACACACAGCCTGTTTTCTAAAGAAGAAAATGTTGGATGAAATATAGAAGGTTTACTTCCTGCTGATTCAGCCAGGACTTTTCTAGATTTTTTTTAAAAAAAGCAAAATGTTTCATAAAAGGTTAAAAAAAAATGTGTTGACATTATAAATATAGTAAAAATGCCTAAATTACATTTCCCTGTTCTCTAAGCTATTGTCACCAATACTGGACCCAACAGGAAAAAAAAAACATTTAGAAAGGTCTTCTTGGCAAAGAATTTGAATGGCACACATGCTTTAGTTTGGCTCCCTAAAGTTCACAATCAAGATCTTATTCCAAGAGAGAAATCTAAATCAAATGGAGCAATATAATCCTGACCAATGTGCTCATGGTGCCAATGGAATATGTACACAGTTGACTTCTGCTTATTTAAAAAGCCAACACAGTTCTAGGCTGCATAAATAGAGGGATAGAATCAAGATCATGTGAAGTGTTAATACCACTTTATAATGCCTTGGTAAGGCCACACTTGGAATACTGCATTCAGTTTTGGTCGCCATGATGTAGAAAAGATGTGGAGATTCTAGAAAGAGTGCAGAAAAAAGCAACGAAGATGATTAGGGGACTGGAGACTAAAACATATGAAGAACGGTTGCAGGAACTGGGTATATTTAGCTTAAGAGAAAGAAGGACTAGGGGAGACATGATAGCAGTGTTCGAATATCTCAGGGGTTGTCACAAAGAAGAGGGAGTCAAACTATTCTCCAAGGCACCTGAGGGTAGTACAAGAAGCAATGGGTGGAAACTAATCAAGGAGAGAAGCAACTTAGAACTCAGGAGAAATTTCCTGACAGTTAGAACGATTAATCAGTGGAACAGCTTGCCTCCAGAAGTTGTGAATGCCCCAACACTGGAAGTCTTGAAGATGTTGGATAGTCATCTGTCTGAAACGGTATAGGGTTTCCTGCCTAGGCAGGGGGTTGGACTAGAAGACCACCAAAGTCCCTTCCAACTCTGCTATTGTATTGTATTGTATTTATTACTCTGAATGAAAAACCACTTTCTCCAAAGCTTACAGAAAATTCTATTGCCAAAGTCATAGATTTTGCAAATGAGGACCCATACAGTTTGGTGTAATTTAATAGGTGACATGTATATTTGCGTGTATGCTGCAAATCTAAAAAAGGATACATTTTATACTGTATCTGGACTCACACTTCTTCATTCTCCTTCATTCTCCATCAGATTAATAATGTGTTTTTAATTCCAGAAACATTATGGTGCATGGAAAGGGGGGGGGGGGGAATGAGCATATGTTATAAAAAAATAATGTTGGATAGATTCCCTTTAGGAAGATGGGACAGATACATAATGATGAAATTGTTTATTTCTATATTTGCTTACTTTGTATTGCAAATGGTACTTCAAAAGCACAGCTGGTCTGGGGATTAATAAATTTGAAAAGGGGAAAAATGAATAATAACTTTAATTTGAGAAAAACCTAGTCCTTGCATCTGATAACAGATTCTGACAACAGAAATCTTCCGACTAAGAAAAGATAATATAAGAATAAGCTAATAGAAAAAGTAAACAAGAAAGATATAAAGAGTACCTCATTGAGGGAGATGAATAGTCTAGAAATATGAAATATAAGTGTAATATTAAATTGGGAACACTTCTTTACATGATTTTAAGGTTCAAAATCTCTATTAAAAGTGATCCCTGTAAATTTAGCAGATTCTGTTTGAAAAACAGGTTGGATCAAACCTTTTCAGAATTTGGCAGATTTCAATAAAGCAAGGTCAGTACTGAAGAGAATCTACTGGTGGTAAATAAACTTGACAGCAACAGTACACAGGATTCACCCACTGCACTAGGCACAGAAATGTGCTAGACTTGCTGTTTGAAAACAGATTTGCAAATTAAGTCTTCATCTGCATGTTGTTAGGCATTTTAAGACTCTTGAGAACCTTTGATTGTATCTTTGACTCACTGCTATGCTGTTATAATGTGATAGCATCGCTTTCCATTGCTACTTTTGGGAAAATGTATGTTCTCATAGAAGAGAATATATATATACATAAACATATATATAGCTCAGGGTTGAAATTTTGAGTCCTTGATGCTCTCTGAGCATGGCTGTTTGCTTGCTGACATTCCATTATCAACCTACGTAACATCATTGCTGCATAGTCAGGTAATAAAACAACTACGTAAGTAAACAGTCATGTTAAGAGAGCTCCAAGGACTCCACAATGTTCCAGTTACTCAACATATATAGATTTCTACTGGATGCATTTGTTTGAAATCTTTATAGCTATCCTGTAGGGTTGTGCAGTACTACAGCTTCATTCATGCAAAGGGAACTGGAACATGTGGAGCACAAATGTGGCATCATCTTAAAACCTCAAGGCCTTTTTATTAGATTGTGTGTGATCCTAAGAAAAGATGAAACTGCTGTAAGGTGTTGAACAGGATCACATTTTTAGTTCTGTGCATTCTTAACCCTTTGTGGTGATCACATCTGAAGGCCCATCACGTGACAGCTGGTTAATCAACACTTTGACACATTTCAGTACACTGGGGCCCTTTTTTATTCTTATTACTAGTTTTATTCTACTGCTTATATACCATTGCAATTTATTTGTTGTGCAGGATGTAAATGTTCTCTGGTAATATTTGAGTTATGGGGATATAATTCAGTCTGATGTTGAAACTTTTTCCTTCCTAACTCTCGGTGTAGAATGTGGTTACGACATCTCTCATAATGAGCATCACAGATTCCTGCACCATTTTGTGAACTTAAAAAAATACTAGTTGTTGTGCATCCATCTGTTATGTAGTTTATTCCTGAAAAAGTCATCCAATGTCACTTTTTTTCCTTTTAAACTGTTTAAAAAATCGAAAAGATTATCCTCTTCTTTTATTAAAAAGGTGCTATAAAAACATTAAAAATCAATATTTCTGCCTTCAAACTGACAATTTAATAAATATAACCCATAAGGAAAAAGAAAGATGGAAGGAGCAAGGAGACAAGTTAAATTAAGTACTAATTCTTCACAAAGGACTCATAATTCCTACCTGCAGATCTTGTTACCAACAATTTTCCTGTGGGTTTAAAAATAATTATTGTGATTATAATTATCTATAGGAAGCATTTTTTTTCCCAATAGAACATTTGCCTGCTTGCTACCAGCTGGTCTTGTAAAGGAATAGATCCTTTTACTTTGGACTAAGAAACATGGCATCACCTACTACACCCAATTTTATTTAATGGGGCTATTATATCTGGTCCGTAAAAACCTGGAAAACCACCAGATGATAGCAAAAAGATATTCTTTGTTGCAATTTTGTGATATTCTGGATTTTTAAGTCAAGATAACATAGCTCTAAATTATCAGCAATGTTTTGTTTATTTGGCATAAGCTAAGGTTTAGTGTTAAAACATGAAGAGATTGGATGAAGCAAAGAATTCAACATTTGCAATGGAAAATAAGGAAGAGAACTATCATTTGCTCTGTGTAATCTTTTTTTTAATTAAGAAAAAGCTCTTTATTTTGCCTTGTATCCATATCAGTTATTCTATTTATCAGTAGCCAGAAACAAAATCCTAGACTGAAACATTTGTATGATTTTATATGGAAATTATACCTTGTGTAAAACGGCAAGTGCCCATTTCCATTTTGCTTGCCTTTTCCTTTTCTGCTCCACAGTGCAGATTTTCCAGGATTTTACCTGGATTGCAGATTCATTATCTCTAGTCACATTGGTTGTTGAAAATATTTGGAATAAGTATGAAAAGTTGCTTTGGGCTGCATCCCTGCAGGTATCACTTGGATAACAATTAATCATTCAGTGTCTGCTCAAATTTACAATGGCACAAAAGGTGGATTTATGACTGCTCCTCTAAGTACTGACCTTTTCAGTCTCCCTGCAGTCATGTGATCAAGATCTGGGCACTTGATGCCCAGCTCATAATTATGATATCACAGAAATCCAAGGTTGACCATGATTTCCCACATTCTCTGCCAGCTTCCCACACAAAAATTCAGTGGGGAAGCCATCAAGAGTACTCAAGTTGCTCCCTTTCCTGATCCTTTTTCACCCATCCAGGTTTTGCAGCATCTGCCCACCACATTCTCCCAGCCACCTGTGGCACCACCACATCTGCCTGTGCTCCACAGCATCTGCTTGCCTGGGACTCCTACTTCTTCCTCCATAATGACCACATGGTCCTGGGGTTGCAATGGCAAATAGGACTGCTAGGATTGCGATCCCTAAGTCACATGAAATCCATCATTTAGTGACAGTAATTCCACTTCAACAGATTGAGAAAGTACTAGATTCGTTTATACTACTGTGCTCATTTATATTATCAAGGGATTATGTATCAATTATTTCAAAGCAGAGCTGAGAAGGCTTCTTGGATGAGAAGCAAAATGTCTTCAAGGAAAAACAAGAAAGTCCAGTTGCCTCTTGAAAAAGCATCTTTGAGACAACCACGAGCTGGATGACTGAGCTCTCCATAGATATTTTAAAGCATTACAAGGCATCTGTTGATAACACTGATGTAAACATACAATAAAATATGGAATCAAACATTGCTAAATGGCTTACAATTTGGCTTAATCGAAGAAGCAATCATGATGCTGAGGTAGCACAAGGGAGGACCTTTGACTATTACTTCTCAGGTGCAAAATACTGTATATATTGATTAAAAAATTGTTTTGGTCTACTACAAAGGTTGATAACACAGGACCTGCTGAAGGCAGAGCATTCATGATAGTTTTAGATGGTATCTGAGGATTAAAAAAATAAACTGTGTAATCTGTTTTTTAAAAGAGGGCAAAAAACATTTCACATTAGTAAGATCACCAGATCTCATGAGATGTTGGTATTCTGCATCGGATCTCTCAGGATTTAAGGCATTCGCTGGCTGGGGAATTCTGGGAGTTGAAGTCTGGACATCTTCAAGTGGCCAAGGTTGAGAAACACTGATTTAAGGTTAAGCTTCATTTTTTCATTCAGTTTTGAATGCTGACTTTTGTGATATTTGATGATCCAGTGAGAACAAGTGATGATACCCAGCACTTCAAAACGTTACTGATACTAAGACATATTAATTGAATGGCACATGGGATAGGGGAGGTGGGAGGTCTCCATGCATTTTAACCTTGCCACCATGTCTTTGTGTGGTAGTTTGGGCTGACAGAAAGGGACTGGCCTAGAGTTACCTACTAAGCAGTATCATGAATTGGGGACTTAAGCCCATGTATTCCTTTTCCAATTTCTGCATACTTTTTTCCAGAAATAGAACCAAATATAACATTATCTCCCATTGCAGATGAAGGCAGACAGTCTAACCTAGGGAAATAGCAATAGGCAAAGCAGACTCCAAGGCAAACAGCAATCTACCTTACTCTGTATACTTATTTCCTGTTCCATCTAGTGTTTTTGGTTTAAACCAGTGGTGGGTTTCAAAAAATTTTGGAACCTCTTCTGTAGGTTTGGCCTGCTTTCCGGGTCCACCGGTGGAACCTCTTCTAACCGGTTCGGTAGATTTGACGAACCGGTTCTACCGAACAGGTGCGAACTGGTAGGAACCCACCTCTGGTTTAAACATATGCCCCACATCACATATATAAAATTCCATAATTTTACCATCCATTGTTTGAAGTAAATACAAGTATTGTAATGAGTTCTAAAGTTTTCTCACTTTGCTTTACTTTTTATAAATGTCAAATTGAATCCAGACTGGATAACTCCAGTTCTTAAATTATGGGAGCCCAGACATTGTAGCTGTAGTTAAGATTTCATCTGAGACGAAGTTTGAATGCAAATAAGCTCTGACACAGCACCTCTGAGATGGTGCAAATCACTCTGTTTGTTTTATTAGGAACTGCTTTCAATACTGTAAATATTATCCCAATAATAAATAATTCCACCTCCATATATCCATATAACAAATGTGACCACCGACAATTTACATATAATATTTTGTGAATGGACAATAATACATTTTAGCAGCAAACAGAAGCTTTTCTATTCACAAACTAACATGGGAAAACAAACTAAGAAAATTAGGGTCAACCAGGATTGGAGTTTATTGCTGAGATATCATAAATCCATATCAAAGTACTGGGCTTTCCTGATGTCCCCATGTGAAAAAGTTCAGAAGCATTATTTCCTACAGCTTTTAAACAATATTGGCTTTTCTTTCCTTGTAGCTATGCTGCAAAACTGGAGAATACAAACCTGGAAGACTCATAATAAATCCAAGACTTTTTGTAAAAACACAGTCCTTCTACAATAAGGAATATATGTCATGCAATCTAGGGTAGTCAGTAATAGAGGAGTAACTGAATTTTGAATTTTCTCACCAAGGCTCAGAATTTTTTCCCCTTGAAACCCTGAGATTCAAATCTGGAAATTGCTCATAAAAAAACAAAAGCAGCTGGGCTTTTGTGGTCTTATGAATCTCATATATTACAGATTTTCATATTTTAAAAAATATCTTGCAATTTCTCCTAGGATCTACATCAAAATTATTTTTGTGACAATCAGTGTGTTGCTGGAATTGACTGACATACAATATATAAATACGTTGCATTGCTATACTCTTCCCATAATGTCACAGTAGTTGATATTCAGACAAGGAGTTGGAAGAGGTCAGTAAAAATTTGTATGCCCAAACATTTTCAGTAGAAGATAGATGCCAGATAGATGCCTTTTCTGAAGTCCACTGTCCTACTTCAGGAGCAATGAATGCCCAGATGTACCTAATGGTATGAATTGTATTGGTAGCTTTTTAGGGTAGGGATGATGTTTATAAATATAATGGGGGCAGGGTAGAATAAGTGAACCAAAGTTTCTGAATTCACATATATCTTTGGCCAGCTCAAATGTACAGCCATGCAATTCAACTTAATAGCAGAAAGGATCTGTTAAAATCTAATTTTCAACAGCCGCCCACTCAGATATTTGAGAAGCACCAGAATAATATCTCTTTCTCATACTGGCTGTATTAATTGAACTATAACAAATTTGATTATAGCTCTGAATAACTAAAACAATTCCTCCCACGTGCATGTTCTCTGCTTATAGCCAGAATCTCCATTCAGGTCAAAAAAATTTCAGCTTCAGCACCCTGGAGAGGGGTTCTTTTGCACTTGAATACATGAGGTAAGAACCGGCTGTAGTGTTGAAAGCTTCCCAATCCCTACAGCCAAATGTTGGAAGATGGTGAACTGCTACGAAACCTTCATATCCTTGCCATCTGCAGTGTAGACAAAATAGTTACTCAGTTTGTAATTTTCAATTCATAATATCCCATCCTTCCAGTACTTCCAGTTTTTTTCTTACTTTGGAATTGAACTGGAGAAACATTCCTTTCATGTAAACTCAGATAACCTACAAATCAGTTTCCACAACCTGGCGTTCCCCAGATGTATTGAGATGTACTCAGTTCCCAAATTCTGGAAAAAATGGCCCAATACCCAGGTGGCTAGGAACTTTAGCATATATTCTAAAAATCTGACTTCTAATATGTAATAGATCACAAATAGGCAACTTGGTGTTTTCCACATTATTATGACTACAATACTGATGGTGTTCTGGGTTTGGGCTGTACTGATTGGAGCTGACTGCCCAAAATGTCTAGAACAGGGGTATCAAACTTGCAGCGTCAGGTTGTCATCACGTGACATATCATAATTCCCCCCCCTCTTTTGCTAAAATGGAGCTGAGTGTGGTCAGTGTGTGACACATCAGGCCCGCAGACCATGCGTTTGAACACCCCTGGTCTAACATAATGACTATTCCTGATATACAGTAGATTTTTAGCATATCTACTAGCACCGTATTATTCATTCAAGATAGTTTTATTATCATACAAATAATTCAAATATGGAATTACTTAAACCAAATTTCCTTAGACTGAGCTCATCAGACTTAGATAACCAGCTGTTATTCTGTGAGATTCAAACCAGCTGTTATTCTATGGGCTTAAATTCCTAGTAGAGCAGTAGTTCTCAACCTGTGGGTCGGGACCCCTTTGGGGGTTGAACGACTGTTTCACAGGAGTCGCCTAAGATCATTGGAAAACACATATTTTCAATGGTCTTAGGAACCACAAATTTTATGGTTGGGGATCACCACAACATGAGGAATTGTATTAAAGAGTTGCGGCATTGAGAAGATTGAAAACCACTGTAGTAGAGGATTTAAAGGGGCACGTAGGAAGTGTGGGTCAGCCCAATGTGGGGATTTTTTTCCTTCTCCTCCTTCCCTTGAAGAGTTGGTTTAACCAAAGTAAGCGTTGGTTTTCTGATATGGATTCTACTGCACATTGACAATCTGGAAGACAGACCTGCACTGAACTACATGTGCAACACCCATCAGTTGCAGCACCCATCTTCCCACCTAAAATCTGTTGCAGAAGCCAACATAATGTGCGTATGTGTACACAGAAACAGAATGGAGAGCGTCAAATGTGACACTTATTTTTAAAAAGTGAAAAAAGAAAAAGTTTCAGGAACAGCTAAACACCAAATCTGTTCCAATAACCTACCATAGTTGTTTTAATCTGGATATTTGGTATTTAGCATCAAGAATAGAGGGTGACAGAACAATAATTTTCAGTATAGCCTTTCTTTGTATACAGATTAACATAATAATATGGATTCAATCATTTCTATTTTTTTTGTCCTTTTTAAAGGTTCCAATATGTGCAAATGACAAAACGGAGGCATTTTCTCTTTATTACTTACCTGTAAATAATACTGTTTACAGAGAAGGTCACACCATCATAGGAATTTGCAACAACCAAAAAGCGGTCTTCGCCCACTGAAAAGAATTCCCAGTCTAAAGCACTGTGACATGAACAAATCAAATAGAAAAATATTGCAAAAGTCAGAGAATCAGTGATGAACATTCCCTGTTTCCATTTATATTAATATCAGTAGGGGGGGAGGCAACAGGTGCCACAATTTTCTGAAATCAGTATAATTTTTTTTAAAGAAAGGAGATGTTAATGTTTCTATTATATATTTCTACTAGCAAGACCAATTTAAGACAATATTTAGATGTATTTTTAGAATATGAAAACAAATGTAAACATTCCTGGAACTATTTTTCTATTAAAAGAACCCCATGCTGATATTTTGAGCACTACTCAGAAAAAGCACCTGTATGTAGGGATGTCCTGAAACTTCTCAAACAATTGTGCTGTGATGTTAAGCTCATAGATGGAAGAATTAATGGCAAAAGTGTTGATCGGTGGTACAGTGCTACTGTCATAACTATGGCTGTTTGCCACAGCAAGAAATACTCTGTTCTGGATGTAAAAGACTTCCCAGTCAGCAGCACCAAAAGTCTGGAAAAAGAGAGGGAGAAAAAGAGATTTTCAGTGAGTCACATCTGTAGAAGGACATACTTTAGAATCTGACCCAGTATGAGGAGAGGTCTAGAGGGTTTGCCTTTCTCTTCAAAAATCAATCTGGCATACTAGGCTAACTAACTATCAGCTTCAATTAACAGCTGGTACAAATCTGACATTTTTAATGGTAATCCCCATATTATTTGACTGTAAAGGGAACAGATGTCTTTTCTACAGGCTGTTTTTCTATTATTGAACAACTATTGTTGTACTTGACCCATAAACTTAAATTTTGTGATAAGGAGCAAGCAAGAGAAAAATGTTATTTGTAAAATATATAATAACATTTTTCTGTTGCTTTCTCCTTATCACAAAATTTAAGTTTATGGATTCAGCATATCGCCCCCACAGTCTGGGTCCTCATTTCACCCACCTCGGAAGGATGGAAGGCTGAGTCAACCTTGAGCCAAGAGCTAAGAGCTCTTGAGCTAAGAGCCAAGGTGGCGCAGTGGTTAAATGCAGCACTGCAGGCTACTGCTAGATCAGCAGTTCAGCGGTTCAAATCTCACCGGCTCAGGG